TGTAGTCCACGAAAGCTTATGCTCTAATAAATTTGTTAGTCTCTAAGGTGCCACAAGTACTCCTGTTCTTCTTGTTTCTCATATGTGACAACAGCACTAAAAACTTAAGGTCGCAGGAGCAAAATTGTGAAGAGACACCAGTCAAAACCAAAACTGCTGCTTGGAGAAATGCACTTTGCAGCAGAAATTAGGACTGATTCAAGTGCACACAATCGAGACCAGCAAGATTTGGGAAATTTCGTTCAAGTGGTCGACAGTATAAAAAAGCTGCAGTTTTCATTTTCTAGCTATGTCTTTACTCCATAAGGCAGGGGGAGAGAATTGCATACATTTTTTTTCAAACTGTACTAGGTTAAAAATAGTCTCAGGCTAACTAAACTAAGATTCAAAGTATTCTAAGTAGTCATAAGGATCAGGCTATAATCTAGCTGTTTCAGTAAAGCACGCTAGATCTATGGTGACTATTAGTTCTGTACAAGCATATAACAGTGATAACTGGATGCATCATCAAGAACCTCTTCTATAACCCTCTCCCACACAGCAGAAAGAGTATTTTCTTCATGTTGCAGACAAGCCAGGGCATTTTATTTCTGATTCACAATGAAAAGTTTCTGCACAAATTTCGCAAGCACAAATATAGGCGTTATATACTCCCGGGAGAAAGGGATTTTCTTTTCAGGGAATGATCCCATGTCCTTTTTGTTGGTGTTCTACGCCAAACAAGGAGCAGGTGGTAGTCCCGTCTATGTGTAAGAAATCTAAGGAACCAGGCAGAATGGGCAAAGAATGGTTCTCCTGGATCAACAGCAGTAGCTATGTTGCTACAGCAGACTACAGAGAACCCCCCGCTCTCCAAAACAAAGACATCCCTGCAGCAGGATTGGGAGATTTTGTTGGAAATCATGCATCATCAAATTGTTTCCTGTGGAGAAGGGGTTCTTAAAGAAAATCGGCCCCTTTTCAGTGGATGTCAGTGTATACTTAGTAGTGGAACAGTTTTGTTTTTTTACTAATAGAATTTTAAAGTTATGCTTTTGCCTTGCGGTGCTGAAAGTTAATACAGACCCAATTCTACTCCTCCTGTAGTCAGGACTGGGCGCTTCATCATGCTTCATCAGTGAGCCTGCTGGAAGGACACAACCTATGATGCAGTTTCCCACGCATGCCGACGTAGAACTGGGTTTAACTCCTTATGGAGAAAGGAGCGAGACGTCCCCCGAGAAGAAAGCTTCCACACTACGAGAAGTTAGGTCTATCGTTCCAATGGCGCCAACGTGGCTCTATTCCAGGAACTGGTTCCCTTCCAACACTGCTGCACGAAAGCACTTCACATAAACCTTTGGTATTGGCAGCAGCACTTACTCAATGTGATGTGCTAGTGTAGTTTGCCGTCGGGGTGATGGCAGCCGCTCCAGATCTGCTCTTTACATCAGACTTGCTATTTCATTTGCTGTAAAGCTTAAAAGTTAACAGGCCAAGTTCTGCTTTCAATAATACTCATGTAAATCCAGAATAACTCCAATGGGATTATGCCAGAATTTGGCCCAAAATATCCAGCAAAGCACTGGTGCATTTCAATGTTGCACATGGATGTCACATAAGTTAACAAATGAAGTCTGAAAAGCTCCTCTGCTCTCATACAAGGTGTGCAAATGGGCTCTAACGCCCGGGAGCGAAACATCATTGTAAACGACCATGTATTCTAAGGTGTTATGGTCTGGAAACAGCAACTGGCATTTTTTGCGTGACCTGCCATTATGTCTGAAATTAATTCAAAATTGCACCAGCCACATCAGGTTCACTTCCGGGCTGGTGGCTTTATCCCATGACTGGTCTAACTGACACACACTGAAAACACACAGTGGGGCCGGATTGTTTGTGTAGCCAATGCGACTCCATTTCCTGTTTGTGTGACTGTAATGCCAGCATATCTCCCCAGGTGTTTGCATTCGTGCAAGAGCACGAAATGATGGAGCCAGGCAAGACTCCCATGGAGCACGCTCTAGGGACCATATTGGAAAGCAAAGCATTCCACCTATAGAGTTGGGAGGAGGGGTCATGCAATGGTGAGGATGCATGGCTCATTTTCAGAGAGCAGGTACATTAAACAAAATGCTTCCCTTGGCCAAAAGCAATTCACTACGAGATCGGGCAACCAGAAAGCGTTATCTTCATTAAAATGAAAACCAACCAAAAAACTATGGAAGCATAGTTACCCCCCAACACACTCAGCTCAGGTTCATCTATTTCCCCACCTTCCGAAGGTTGGAAAACAGAAACACTGGTGTTTGAATAGAAGAGAGGACACATTTTTAGCCTGCCAACCACTTCCTATAAGTATTATACCCTCTTCTCTTTTATTTATACCATTCCAGCAATTAATGCAAATTTCTGATGATAAGGGCTCTGGTTGCTCCCTTAAATACAACAGCTACCATATGAGGTTTCTAGGCCAGGCACAGAGACCACTCTAGCTATAGGGATGCTTGGCAGCTGCCCAGGGCAGCAGATTTCTGGGCGGCTGCCCCCCGTTATAATTTCAGTGGTGCTGTGACCCTGTGGGCCAGGTTGCAACGCCACTCACTCATATTTGGCCCATCTGGCCAAACCCGAGTTGCCGGGAGGTGTCACTGGCTAGGTTATTATCTAAGAAGCACAGGTTGGTGGCCTGCCATTTAGCAAACCTGCTAGAGAGGAGCGATAAATAAATACACATGTACACAAGTCTGTGAACTTTTCTCCTGACACTGTACTTGCTTTCTATAAATATACACATGAATACATATGTATGTAATATACATACTTCTGTAGGGATCGGAGAAAAACTTAAGATATTTAATGGATTCAAGTGAAGACAATCTCAAAGACTCACTGGTGGTGAAAGACATTGTCAGTGGTGAAATATACACGTTTTCCCAATCAAATTGATCACACATTCTCTTTGCACAGAAGACATGACTTACTGTGTTTCCTGCTTTCCCATATTCCAGGTATGTGGGGCAGAACACACTTCCAAGAACTGCCTTTTCCCCCTGGTAAGTTCCTACTGAAGTACCAAAGTCCCTCTGGACCTGCATAATGCTGCCAGGGGCCAGTGCAGCACACAAAATGCACAAGAAGGATGCAGGAAAAAGATGAAATATGTTTCACGATTAGGGAAATTTTGCACACATACACTATACACACATATATATATATATTAAAGGCAGAAGAGATCTTTTCCTGTAGCTCTAGCAGATTCAGGTGAGGGAAGCATGTTTATCACTCCTACGGATAAAGCATTGCTCATTAATATAAGGTGATCTAAAAAACAAAACAATCTGGTGATTTAAAATGGCTATGAATGTGAACGTAACAGGGATTTGAACTAACATCCCATTACCAGAGGCTCGCGTAGACCGCAGCGGCAGGCAGAAGGTATGATGCTCCAATAACAGGGCAAGAATGGCATTGCCACCCCAGCCAAAAATAGCAATTAGTCCTCTGTTGATCACATAGTATTCAGCTGGGATGGCTATAAATATAGACACACACCTAAAGGAATTCTCCTGGGTCTTACATTTGAAAACATCCTGAATAAAATCTGACATGAAAAGCTCTTTTTTTCTTTGGGTGGAGGGAAAAAAAAAGCCCAAAGCCATTAGAAAAATGATCCATGCATCTGCGTCAGATGAAGCAGGTGGGCATGGTACCATTGCTACTTTCTCGGCTCCTGAAAAACATTTCACCGGAGCCTCAGCCAAGACTAATAAAAATAATAGACTTAAATAAGCAGATGATTCACTGTTTCTGACCGAAGAACAACAAAAATAACAGCGATGTGGTCGTGGCAGGAAATCTTTTCTGCCTTGAGGAAAATCTTCTCCTGAGGTGGAAAACAAAAGGTTGAGCGCTTAATGGGCTTGACCGGAAACATTTCAAGCAAGCCACATTTTGCATGAGATCTAGTGGTTCAGCTTTACCGCTAAATGCAATTTGGCTGTTTACATTCTAAAGCCGTCCAGGTTTCATGGCCCTTTTGGCCAGTGCTAAGCGATAATCAGGATGAGGGTCAGGCAAAGTCTTTGCAATCAGGTTGCCACCTGACTATCTGAGAAGCGGCTTGAATTGGTGACTGTAGAAGAAGATCTCTTCCTGTCAGCCAGTGCCTAAGGGAAGTCATGTATTCTGATAGGACAGCTCGAACATGGTGCAAGACTCTTCCAGGCTCTCGTCCATATTCAGTCTCCTCCAGAAGGACTTCTGCTTCTTCTGCAGCTCTTTGCGCACACACCTGGGGCACGGGACAGACTTCACTTTGCACTCCGAGTGGAAGACAGCGCCACAGCTTTCGCACCTGCAAACACCAATTAGTTCTGTTAATGAAAGCGACATGGTGACCAATAGCATGCAACTGATTATAACAGGAGATGTGGCCAGCAAACGCTTGCTGGGAAATTTCTGGCAGCTTAGGCCTTTCCTCACATCTAAATCTTGCAGGTTCTTTCTTCTTCACATCCCTAAGACTCGACCTTTCCTATCCATCCACATATCTTAAACTCTTGTCCACGCTCTCATCATCTCACGTCTTGAACACAGCAACCTCCTCTTCTCTGGCCTTGACAAATGCAATCTTTTCCCACTCAGAGCCATTCATGGTCATTTCCCTAGCCCATTGCTTTGACCACATCACCCCTCTCTTTACATTCTTTCACTGGCTCCCTTTTCATCATATCAAACATAAGCTACCTGTCTACATTTTGAAGGCCCTTCCTGACCTCTCTCTCATTCAGTAGGGAAAGGTCAACTCCTGCTTCCGATCGGCCCTTTACACCAGCTTCCATCGTCCACTTGTTACATTGTCCAACAAGCACCTTCATGCTTTCTCCCATGCTGCCCTGCACGCTTGGGAGGAGCTTCCCGTAAACATCTGCTTCTCCTTCAATTCCCTGCTCACGGCTCTTCTTTGCCCTGGTGTCTACACAAAACTTGACAATAGTTAGGCGGTGGTGTGCTGAGAACACAGCCTGTCATGCTGACCAGTACGGTCTCATTGTTTCCTTGTGCTCCCCCGTCTGTCTGTATCCACCTGTTGTCTCTTGTCTTATGCTTAGATTGCAAGCTCTTTGGGGCAGGGCCTGTCTCTGTTCTGTGTTTGTCCAGCAAAAGAGGGTCCTGATCCGTGACTAGAGCTATGATAATATAAATAAATAAATAATATTAGGAAGCAAAAGGCTATACTACCCAGTACACACGGGGGCAAGATTCTCAGCTGCTGTAAAAAACGGACGCAGCTCTATTAAAATCAATGTGCCCATGTATACCTGCCCTAGGATTTCTGCTCTGTTAATGTTAATTATTACCGTGATGAGTGTCCATCTTTTTAAGTGTCAACGTCAAGGCTCATTAGGGAATAGGTATATTTATCTGTTATAGAGAGATTGCTCTTTTATAAAAGGCAAGTTTTCTGGTTTAGTTTGCACACTCGAAGTGATTGTCTCCACTTCTGTTAATGCATATTTCAGAGCTTGGGACAATGGAATTATGACATTTCTCACTGGAATTCCACTGCAGTGGCCAGCTGTTCTGCGAAGAATAAAACTGCTGTCCACTTCTACCACAGAAGAAAACTAAGATATTCAACCAAGTACAAAGGGAACACAGAAAGTTACTGGGTATTATTCTTCGGCCTGCGTTATGCAGCAGCTCAGACTGCAGGATTGTAATGGTCCCTTCTGGTCTCACCCTCCATTACAACAGTGTTTTTCTTTTTTTAAATGTGATATGATAATTTAGAAGAATCCAATGACCCAGCAAAATGAGTGGTTCGTTATTTAACCATTCAGAGACAATGACATCAACACACTAATTCTGAATTAGGTACTGCTGTGGAGCATGTTAATTTAAGAGCTGTGCAACATTACAATAATTATGGAGAGCTAAGCAATTTTAAATTCTCATCTTTTCAGTGCAAATAGCCAGCTGCAGGGATGAACACGTCATGGGCTTGGTAGCTACAGCTTTGTAGCCAAATGAGAAAAGGGATAGAGATATATAATCTTAGATGAAGTGGGTGTATTAAATAATGAAGACAAGAGTACAATATGAGTCCTTAAGGCAATTCATTTTTTAAATTTAGAGGTGTGGTCAATTTTCATGATTTCATCACAAATCTTGTGATGTTTGGTGTTTTCTTTAATCCCCAGCTGCTGGAGTCAGGTGACTGAGTGGAAGTCTCAGGTTTCATTTGAAAAGGAGTAAGTTTCTAGCCCCCAAGATTGTGGAGAAAAGCTTGAAAATGGGAAGCGAGTGGCACCCTAATGACTGAGAAACCAGGAGGCAAATAAGAAAAACCATAAATTTATTTAAAAACAAGCCAATCAGATGTTTTTTTAGAGCCAGCTCATGATTTCTGAATAATGGGGTTGGCACCACTGGGGGAAGTCCAGGCACAAATAGCCATTTCCTCATGTGCCTCTCAGCTCCTGACTGCACTTTAAACTGTGGGTATAAAGCTTTGTCCAACTTTCACCTGCCACAGGGCTGGGAGCAGGACCAGAGGAGACTTATAGGGGCACATCCTCATCTGGTGTAAATTGTCATAGTTTCACTGATGTCAATGGAGCTATGATGTGCCCCACCCTCCCGCTAAGGATGATGTTACCTGGCCCCAAGCTCCACCCCCTCACTCTCTGAGAGAGAGAGAATCACAATCCATATACAACAAAGCACTTAAGCTTGATGTACCATAGACTTCAATGGGAGTTCTCACATGCTTCAAGTTAAGCATGTGCTTTTGCTGGATAGGGTCATGTACACACGCATGCACACACATACATACATGTATATTACACATCTGCACAGATACAAATGAATGAGCGAGAGAGAGAGAGAAAACAGCCATGGCCTTTAAAACTTTAAATCATTCCTAACTGACACTAATGGTGATTTTATCAAGCTAATTCTCCCTGGCTAGTCAGTGATTTACAATTCTCTAGAAGTTGCTAGAGGCTAATGATTGATGATGAGTGTAATTTTGTGTTCATTCAGTGCCACTCCCTTCCCCCTCTTGATAATTCTCCCCAGCGCTCGGGGAAGTGACAAAACTTATCAGGCACTGCTGTTGAAATGGATGCCTGACGGATTACAGAGGAGCCGACCGCACCTGCTCTTTCCATCCAAAGGTCATTAACGGAGGGAGAGAAAAAAAAAAAAGGATTACAGATTTCAAAATTTAAACAAATTCATTTGTCAAACGCTTTGTAACTCAGCAACACGCTCAGATGAGGATCATTTGTGAAATTAACTAACAGCTCTCAGATCCCCCAAAAACAGAGCGGAAAGAAATTTCCAGTTATTCTGATTCGTTATTTGGACTGCGGCAACCCCAGAACAGGGCCCCACTGTGCTAGGTACGGCACAACCACACACTAGAAAGATGGTCCCTGGCCCGAAGAGCTTACTGCACTTATTTGGGAGTGTGAGCAGCAGCGACACAGACCAGATCCAGGACTATTGGTCTTCTCTTTGATCCCTAAGAACCCCAAAGGCCTTCACAAATTGCTCTGTTTGCTCTCCCAACGATGCCAACCTTGAATGCCCATGTGCTTTCTGCCCCAACAGCAGGCTGACCACAATAACATTGTACTCAAAAGAACTCTATTTAGTGCAGCCAAACATGGCTGCTCACTGCTACTCCGGCGTCATGCAGGAGCTGGGCTAGAGGATGCTTCTGTTTGCCTCCAATGCATATGCCTATTTTAGCATTGCCGCAGAAACTCTTGGGACACCGATTGGGGCTGATGCTGAGTTCGCTCTGCAGTGGTGTAAAAGAGTTACTCCACCGAAAGCGAGTGAGTTCCCTAAGGCAAAACAGCTGAGAGATCAGAATTAGGCCCATTGTATCTTAGAATACAAAAGGTGATTTTCAGCATCCCAGAGTACCAAGCCATATATACAAATGAAAGCAACCTACCAATAGTTACCAATATCAACTGACTGACCATGTTTCAGCTCACTTGGAAAGATCTTCCAACCATGACAGAAAAGCAGATCCCTTGTGCGAATATTTCAGTCACATTGCTTCTTCTTTCATACTGAAATCTAATTTACCAGCATACATCAAAAACATGAATGGCTGGTGGGCTTAAAACTCCCAGCCTAGCGATTCCTCTTGACAATGTTTTTGTGAGACCATCTCCTCTCATACAGAAATTTGGACAACATACGGACATGGATTTGTCAATAGCTACACATTCGTGTTTAACAATTAGAACATCTTTCTACCTTCTCTAAGTCCATGAGGCAGAGTCTTAAGACCAGGAATCATGGATAAGTGCTTGGGGGTTATTTCCCATAATTGGTTAATGTAATTTGGGGTTTGCAGGTGCTCCTGATTACATTTGGCCCAGAGCACACTACTAAACATGGCAGCCTGTATCCCGAGAGATTTGCAGTGCTCTGAAACATCAGCCCTGCTTTACACACCGTGCATTGAGTCCACAGCCGATTCTGTACTAGTTTCTAAGTTGTATTGTTTACTGTTAAAGGCAATCGATGATTGAGGCGCTGTCCAGATGAAGGAACCTTTGCAGCCATATTTATTGTCTGTTTCTAACTACAAATATACACGATTCCCATGCTGCGGGAGCCTTCAAATAATGTTAAAATTCAGGAAAATACAGCAGCCAGTGCAATGGCTCAGCCACCTGCATAAGCAAGTGCCCCACAACTTGAACGCTGTCTAGTAACCGACGAGGACAGCAGCTCAACAGTGAACCACGAGTGAGCCGTGAACTTGAACTGAACTCTAAAAATCAAATCTAACTTACACATATCAGAAGCTACCGACTGTAATATCCCACCAATTAAACTTTCAAATACAGTCCCATGCGTACAGCTCTCATCCTGGCTACAGCACTGCCTAAAATTTGGATTAATGCAACAAAATTTCCCTCTTCCCTCTCCCCGTCCGCCCTCCCCACCCCAGCCCACCCCCCATCTCGCCAGCATACAGATATGGCCAGAATCTGGATCCGTTGCAGCTGTATTTTGTAAGGGCAACGGGCAGCACCTGTGTTAGAAGAGAGGGCGTTTCTCATCCGCATCTGAAACAACATCCCTTTTTCAAACTACCCTCAATTATATATATATATATATATATATATATATATATATATATATT